ACACAAAAGGAGAATGTATTCTAAATGTAACACGATTTGAACTGGGGTAACTTCTATTAAAATCATGTCAGTAACCTTAAAAGGAAAACTGTAAAAATGGTTGAGCTCTACTGGTAACAATTATGCCGGCAGCCTTCAAACTCCGCTGTGGAGCAGGCACTAGGAGGTTCACTGTAGCTTTTGGCATTCCCAGAATTACTAACACTGCATTTGATTGTGGGTCATGCTGCAGCCCTAGGTTATATTCTTAAGCTAACTTGATCCAGAATGTAAAATAAATGGATAAATACACCACTGTTTCAACTGTTACCTGTCTCTAGACTTTTCCATGATCACAGAGGCTATGAATCATCATTTAGCATGTCCAACCAATGAAGCATGCCACACTTCCAGCAAGTAAATGAATGCAAATGTGGCATTTTTACCATCATCTTTTCACAGTAGGTAAAAATTAAACATTTTTGAATTGGGAAAAAAAAAAAAAAAAAAAGGACTATTTTTTTTTCTCCTCCAAAGTTGTTCTTGTGCAATTCCTCCTACGGAGGCAATTCCACATTCCTTACTCTGGAATGAATCCATGGGGGAGAGAGACGGATGGACACAGACACCTCTCAAAGATCTGTTTCCACTAAGCAATGCTCTCTTTTTAAGGACTTTCTGAATGACTGGTTTCCTGATAAGAAATAGGTATGTACGAATTTTAATCAAAATGATAAGTAAGGTTCATGTCAGAGCAAAAGACCAGATTAAAAAGACAGTCCTTGATATGATCAGAACATCAGTTTACTGATTTTTCAGTTGTTACCAGGAAGATCGTTTTTAAGCCTGCACCTCAATGTAGTCCTACTGATACTGGTCTCTTACATGAATAGTAGCAAAGTTTAACATACTTCATAAAACTTCAGGTAGAACAGCAAAATTTGCTTTTTAAGGAGTTCACACCCTCCTCGCTTCTCAAAAGGTCTAGCTTTACTGTGGTGGCAGTGTAGTTGTTTCTAAAGAGTTACAAAGGACTTTCAGCAGCCAGTGAGTGCACAGACCACACTGGAGAAGACGCGGAAAAGGTTAAATCTGGAAAGCTGTCAGTCAGTTTTCCACACGAACTCATTGTACCAAACAAGAAACTTGCTCCTCCTCCTAAATGGCCACAACGTTTGGAGCCAACAAAAAAGTAATTTTCTGAACAGCATCAGTGCACGTGTGAGAAGGGTGGTGGGGCAGGGGGGAATTGAGTTACTGTAAGGTAAGGACAGACTTTCACATGGTGCAGTGCTCCTCTAACCTGCTAAGACCTTCCCCAGAGTACCACATCGGATGTGAAAGTTAAGATAAAAGCATTTCCTTTCTTGTGATTTGTGCCATCTTCCTTCCTTGTGCTCTTCCTATCTTGGTATATCTAAACCACAGACATGTGGTTTACCTCAAGCCTTTCCATTCTCATTGCATATTTCTTTTACCCTAGTTTTCATACAAATATCTTTTTGTCCGAGCTGCCTCTTCTGAGACACTTTTTCCCAGTTTTCTTAATGACGGCAGACAGATCTTGATTTTTTTTCCCTGCCTTCCCTACATTAGTGATTTCCTTGTTGATTTTAAGGAGAAACAAACAATCAAAAACCAAAACAACAAACAAACAAACAAAAACAAAACAAACAAACAAAAAAACACAACACCAACACCAACAAAAAAACTGAAACAATGACAAAAAAAGAGCTATTTTAGTAGTGCAGACAGAAGTCACTTTGTTAAAAGTTACTCTGCTTATTAGCAATTTCACTTCCCATTCAACTATGGAAGGCTGAAGATTAGAGACTAAAAACAAAAACAAACCAAAGAATTGGCTTAGTAATACAGCATATCATTTTGAATAACCCTGAAACCTCATTTCCTCATGTTTCAGTATTGAACTTCTTTTCCTTGTACGGTTGCAATAGCTCAGATTTTGCCAAAGATTTAAATTATTACAGTCTGTTCTAGCCTACAAATGAAATACCATATAGTATATATATTTAAAGAGAAACCTGTCACTGTAGACATAATTGTAGTGGATGCTGGTTGTTCAGTTAAATGCACAGAATATACTAGCCAGCAGCTCATCTCCACCAGAATTTGAAAGAAAATGACATATCTGGGGCACAAACCCAAGAGATGCCAAAACACAAAATCCCTTATACGGCCTTTACAGAAAAATAATACAGGAGAGGTAGAAGATTGACTGATAAAAAAGCAGAATATTCAATTTTAAAATAGACAGTGACTCAATCAGAGACTTACTGTAGACTGAACGTAAGTATAAGAACGGTAACTATGTCTTTGATTTAATCCCCATCACATCATCATTCAGTGGCCATATACTTTTAATTCAAAAAGCAACAGATGTGAATGGGCATGTTTTAAAATTTGTGATTGTAATCTAAAAAACTAAATTAGACCCCAAAAAAATAAATTTGACAAAGCAGTGCTTTGTCTTTTATTCAACATTTCAAATGTTAGTTACTTCTACAGCAGTAGTCAAGTATTTCATCCACATTAGTTTTTTCATCCACATAGTAATGATGGTGGTACCTGGGTTTGGAGATTCAGGGAAATAACACTTATAACATGTACAATATAGTGTGGTGAGTTCCTCAGGGAAAATACATGTATTTTAGCAATATCTCCATTCACTTGGTTTGAATAACAACTGTTAATAAAGACATTAATTGTACTAGGAAAGATGGTAAGTCTTTAATCTCCATAATCACAGAATAGTTTGGGTTGGAAGAGACCTTCAAGGCCACCCAGTTCTACCCCCTGCCATGGGCAGGGACACCTCCCACCAGACCAGGCTGCCCAAAGCCCCATCCAGCCTGGCTTTGGGCACTCCCAGGGATAGGGCATCCACAGCTTCTCTGGGCAGCCTGTGCCAGTGCCTCACCACCCTCACAGTAGACAATTTTGTCCTTATATCTAATCTAAACCTGCCCTCTTTTAGTTTAAAGCCATTACTCCTTGTCCTATCACCATACGCCCCGAGTCCCTCCCCAGCTTTCCAGTAGCCACCCCCCCCCCAGGTATTGGAAGGCTGCAATGGGGTCTCCCCAGAGCCTCTCTTCTCCAGGCTGAACATCCCCAGCTCTCTCAGCCTTTCCTCACAGGAGAGGTGCTACAGCCTTCTTTGATCATCTTTGTGGGCCTTCTCTGGACCCACTCCAACAGGTCCATGACTCTCTCATGCTGGCAGTACCAGTGCTAGAGGCAGTACTATAAGTGGAGTCTCATAAGTGGACTAGAGGGGGAAATATAAACAAAGTAAATGATCAAATTGTTGAAACACAAGAGTTTTATGCAAGCCACATGTGAAATTTCACTAGTGTATTGTGATGCAAAAGAAGACTACACATTTTTTATATTAGTAACCCTCTGTGACACTGAACTCCAGTAACGCTATTATACTTTTGCTCTCCCACAGGCTTCTGGCTTTCAGAAAAAAAGCCTACACAACTCCTTGTTTTCAGCTGTCTAGTGCGGATAAAAAAGTCATACTATTCCCTGATAGAAGACTAACGTGAAAGCTATTCCTTCTCCCATCATAGAGAAAAGAAACTGGATCCTGAATTCTATTTCTGATACTGTGGTAAGGAAGGGAAGACTCAGCACTAAGGGAAAAAAATATCCTGAATGTGTACGTTTACCCATTTTGAGCCTTGCATATCCAATTCAAGTGTAGTAGGCTAATTCTCAAAGTATTCACCTTGGAACAAATTTCAAGCTGCTTGTCAGTTTTCATTAGCACCCTGCAAGCTAAAGTATATCATAACACTTAGTAGAGTTATGCGTGGATCAGTTTCTTCACTATAAACTTACTATGTACTTGAGCTTTTATAATCAGTTACAAGCTAAATGACTAGCACTGATGCACAGGTTGCTACAAGCTTAAGGTTTTAGTACTTCAGCATTTTAAGATGCTTGTTAAAAGCTTGACATATATTTTTTCAAATAACTGTGTCTGTCCAACATCTCTTGAAAATTCCCAGAAATACTATGTCATCAGAATTCCGTACAGACAAAATGGAAGATGGTAATCTTAAAAGTATTTACTAATTTTGTTGCATATGTCAGACTATATGATCTTACAGCTGATGTTAAGATGTTATGTTCCCGTCTGTTCAGAAATAGTATTGGTTGGTTCTTTATGTCTGACCATTAGCAATACACATCTGTGTGCTTATCATCTTATGATTAGCTGAAAGCAACAGCCTCTCACTACCCGGGTAACAGTTAATATTAGTTAAATTGTTAATATTGTTAATACATCTATTAATTAAAGATGTATTGTTAATACATCTATAGTTAATACTAATTTCATCAATATGCCATTGATGAAATCAGTATGTCATTAAAATGACAATGGACAAAGTAGCATCTCCAATGTTAATGTTTTGTATTTCAGAAAAATGTTTAACTGTTCTAGTGTCTTACAGAAGATATGAACAGTCTCTCCAAATGTATTTTCTACTCAGGAAAACATAGACAAGTAGAATAGCAGCCCTTACAACTATCTTACAACACTTTCAGCTGAAGGGCTGATTTTTCTTCCTCCCCTAATTACAATTTTTGCAAGATTTTAATATTATACTAATCCTGAGACCATTAACAACAAGGTTAAGATTGATGTAATTTATCAGTTGAGTAGGACATCAGCATTTGACCATGCAGGTGATCTTAATCTTTCAGAAACTTTGTATGAGATTTCATTTAATGCATGTCTTTTGACTCTGAGTATTCATGCATTATATTTTACCAGGGCACTGATAAACTTCATTTAAAAGAATACCTGTAACAAAGAGAATCAAAATTACAAAATAGTTTACCACAAATACTTGCCTGTGCCTCTTTAATACCATCTTCACCATTCTTCACTAAATTTGCTTCAGCCTTTGATATAATCTGAAATTGTTATGAACACTACTTCCGAGAACACCAATAAATATCTACAGACACAAAGGCAGTGTTTAATGTTTCACAAGGTACATCCCTTTATTATTGTAATCACAAAAACATGATTTTGTACAGGAATGTTTGAGTGAACATTAATCGATGCAATTACATTTGTTTCATAAAGATCAGGTAAACGAACTACAGAACATTGTATTGTAAAGAACAAAAATATCAGCTTTCTGGCCTTGCAGTGCACATTTTAGTGCAAGTATTAAGACACAATAGTGTTCAATTCAGCAATGTATTGCAGAACACCATGCCACAGTCCACTTCAATGAGGGTCAGGACATGCAGCTTGTTAATAAAATGCTGTAGTATATAAAAAAGCCACATGTTAATTCATAAAATATATAGTGGTTTATTTGGATGATTTAAAGTGATTTCACTGTGGAATTTAGGTTTATCCAGGACAAACATCCAGAGTGTCTTGTCATTTGGAATATTCTTCTTTTAGGCGATGGCTTTGGCTTCAGGTAGGAATGCCTCCCAGTATTTTATTAGCTTGAAGAAAATGGGGAAAAAAATCACTGTTAAGTACTAACCATTGGAAAAGAAAACACATATACCTTCCTCTTCTTGTGGCAAACTTCTCTCCACTCAATTCAGTAAGAACACAGATGCATCATATTATCTATTCACATTATTACATTATGCAAGAGAATACAAGTAAAAAATATACAAGTTCGCTCAAGCAACAGTTATTATTATACATTGAGCAAAATACTACAGAATACAGTAATAAAGAATTTGTCAGGTTAATTTGCTATTTTTACCTCTACTGTGTGCAAGCCTCTTCAATAATTCAAAGTACATATTTATTACAATTTATTCCAGTCTAAAAGTTCAAGTATTACTTCAGTTTTAGAAGGAAAACAGACAAGAAGCTCCATTCCCCATATCCCTACAGGAGCTTCTCCCTTGCTTGCCTGAATTAGAGCTGTGCAAAGGAGCATAGTAATAGCTAGAAAACTGCAGTCTGTGTTCTCCAATACCATACAGACTAGAAGTAGTTATTTTTGTTTTAGGAACTGCTACACTTACAGCCCATCTTTTTTTTTTTAACTAACCTAATATGTAACATTAAATATTAACTTGTACAAAACTTAAAATTTATCTTACCTGCTGCTGTGTTTGCACTAATGATTCTAAGTACTTGATAATAACAGTTTTAAAGTCTTTCACTCGTTCCTTCTGTTAATAAATAAATTATGGCATTAACCAATTTTACATGGAACATCAGTATTATCTAAAGTAAAAATGCCATATACTCAGAATTATACGTGCCTCAAATCTTCCCACTTCCTTGCGAATGGTTTTGGAGATCTGCTCAAAATCTTTTTCCCCTTGCTGAACTTTTGTCTCCCACTGGCAAAGGAAAGACATGCAGAAATGAAACTGTGTTCTCCGTTCAGTTCATCAATATTTCAACATTTCCGTGTATTAATGATAGTCATTCAGGAGCTGAAAAGGACCTGTTTGTCCTTTTCCATACTTAAGGGAAAGTCTAACAATAACAATTTCCAAATATTTGTAGACTAGGACATCACATTAAATGATGGTATCTCTATCACAGTGACACCTGTAGATGACAAATATTTCAGTATTGTCACTCAGAAATACTTAAAATCTTTAAGAGATTGTTTAGCAAAGGCAAAGGATCTCTAAAGCTTTATTGGCCATTTCCTTCACAAACACTGCTCTAATAAGAATCTAAACCATATGAGAATAAGAATCTAAACATATGAGAGTCTGGGAAGTCACTTCCCTGTACTTTCCTAATTTCTTCATAAAATCACTTAGGTTGGAAAAGACCATCAGGTCCAAACATCTCTGCCTACAGTCATGCATATCCTTATCTTCCTCATAGTTCTATTACAGATAAGCTCACAATGCCTTTTGTTTTGTTTTGCAGTTAAAATCAAAGCACACACTCTCTTTTTCAGTGGTGACTGAAGATACAAGAGGAGTAGAAAGGCTACTGCAGGTAAGATCATAAAAGGAAAATTCAGATAAAGTGATGTTGCCTGAGGGTTATGCCATACTGGGAGTGTGGTATTCATGTAAAAATACTACATGACACTAGCTTATATTTGTTCTTGGTTTATGGGAAGAGACGTCCAGCTACACAGTAAGAGATCATTATCGTATACGTTGCCTCGTAACTAGTAGGCTTGCTTTTGCCCTTGGCTTTACATACCTATTATATTGTTAAATTCAAACCCTTTGTGTAGGTAGCTATGAAAAAGACCATCAGCCTGACACCGCAGACACATTTAGGCTAACATTTCAAAAATGCAACTGTATTTGTTCATCTCAACATACTAACCCAATCATGGGAGCTAAGTGACTCAGTAACAGCCACCTTCCTCAGAAAAAGGCTGCCAGGAAGCAACTTACTCTAACGTAACATGTTCTTGTCAGCAATCCAGCAGTACTGTCTAGTCACAAAGGCATTTTGTGTTGCAGCATCAATTTACTGCTGTGCTAAGAGATGAACACAATCTACCCGTTCCAATAAATATCTTGATATTTTTATCTTTAGTTTACATTTATCCAGAATCCCCTTATTTTCAGATACACGTTTATGATGCCATATAATATGTCGTAACAGGATGTGCTTCAGGGAAACACAGCCTGAACAGTTATATATCTAATCACTGAAACAATACAAAACTCAGACAAGAAAAGGGTAGATTAAGACTGTACCATTCTACCACTGCAACTAGGGGCACCTGAAATTTCAGTGCAAGGCTCTATAGGTGTAGGGGACCCCCATCCCTGTTTCATCACCTCCAAATGCCAGGTCTAGTATAAATTATCACTGCTTGATGGTCTGCCACCCTATAGTTTCTGACACGTAGGAATTTTCACTTTTCAACACAGTATTTCTAGGATAATTTTTTTTTCCTGCAAAAAATAACTGTCACAGATGACATTCAAGCTGCAATTTCTCTGCCACAAGGACTGCTACCACTGAATCTGGCAACTCTGAGTTTATTTAAATGGAAGCAATCTTTTCACCAGCAGATTCAAATTGAGGGCTTACTAACAACCTTCTCTGCTCATCCAGTAAAGAGGAAAAAATTCTAAGGAACAGCATCGCTAATTCTTTTCATATTGGGATTGAGAAGGGATCACTATTTCCTACTACTCCCAACACTCAGGAAGTATTTTGGCTGAGCAGTCGGCTCACTTGTAGCACTGTGGATGGATGAGTCACATCAAGAGTACCAACCAACAAGAATGTGGTCACATAAGACTGACAGTAAGTTTTGCCAGTAAACAAGGCTTTTTTTTTTTTTTTTTTTTTTTAAAGAATAAGAAAGCCAAGTTAATGAGAAACTTCAATACCATATGCAAAATATACTGAAGTGCAGAAAGAACAAAGCAGATTGTGGTTAGTGACCAATGAGGAAGCCAAACAAAATAACTGCATAATAAGAGTTGGAAATCTAAAATGATGTTCTCCCATTATTTAATGAGAGAATACTGGTGCATAATCAGAATGTATTAATGTTAATTATTTAAGTTGTCCTACCTCTTCAATTTCCTTAGTGAAGCATGACAGAAAAAGTGTATAGGTTATGACACTTCAATACGTAAGGTTTATTTTTACTGAAATCACACCATATATACATATATATGGCTAGATATGCTGCATAATAAAGCAAAACATGGGAACAGTTCTCCATTAGTTTTTGTGAGATCTTAGCTTTAAAAGCCAGAAGACACTCCACTGCCTACCCAAGTCATCTGTTAACTATTAGAAGCAGTTTAACTTGTCCATGTTCCCCTCCTCCCATCTCCCAGACTCTGTAGAGACAGTATTCAACCGCCTTACAGATCTTACAATCAGTAACAATTGTGCATATTTTTACTGTAAATTAGTTTCAACAACTTCAATAAATATGGAAAACAGCAAATGAGTAAGTGGTGCTTAAATAAAAATGGCATAACGTAGTGCATTAATGCAAAATGAATGAGTCAATGCAGAGAGTCTGACCTTTAAAATAATGTTTGATAACTTTACCTCTTTTATCTCATCTTTAGCTTGCTGCAACTTATCAGGTTTGTTGGCAAGCTGGAGCTTTGCTTCTGCTTCACGTTTTTTTTGTAAAGTGACCTGAGCATCTTGCCACTTCTGCCAGCATTTCATTCGGTGATCAAACACACCCTGTAATGATGCATTAATTTACTAAACAACTGGAATTGTTAGAGCTATCTAAATTTACAGTATAAGAAGGTATTTCCGTATAAAACTGGAACACCTACACTCAAAGAAACTCCACTGTGTCTACTACATCTTCTTGTACTTCGTTTGACAGCACGCTTGCACAACTAAACACCATGTACAATGGACATTCAAGCCCCTTCAGAACAAACACCTCTGTGCCCCAAACTATTTTTTGTTCCTCATTCCACCAAAACTCTACCAAAGCAAGCAAACAACGATGGCAGAGAGGGGCAACAGAGGAATGGGAGAGGAGACAAAGGAAGAGATACAACAATTTGGCAAGTTCAAAGATAACTCTGGATAAAATTCTTACACTCCTTTCCCGTGTCAAAACCTAATTATACTATACAGTATGACTTAAAGTCCAGTATTTTCTTAAATGAAATGTAGATCCACAAATTATAGTTGTTTCACATTTACAGAAGATTTTGGCTATCCAACAAATATTGCCAAATTATGTTCTTGCTTAGATATAATAGCATAGTGTGCACAAATACTGTGCACAATTAGTACTGCTCAAAGTAGATGTTCAACATTTACATTTTTTCTGGATCCTATTATTACAGAATTAAAATCCATTCTCAGTTATAACAATAATTTTTATCATTGGAATAACTATCACAGATTCATTCATTTTATTTGGATGAAACTTAATACAAAAACTTAGTCTCAACTGTATAACAAATGTGCAAACACACAAGCATTCATTTACGTTGTACCTCAAAGTTTAGTAGTGGGACTTTAAACACTAAACCCAATATTTTTCTTAGCAGTACTCACTTTTACTGCAGCAATAAGACGAATGTAATCACCAAGCAGTTCTGAGAATACGTAAAAATCAGCAAAAGCTTGTTCTTGATGTAACTGATCTATCTTCTCCTCAACTTCAGCAAGCTGAGACAAAGCTCTAGACAGAGCAGTGTGGTCCTCAGAGTTACCTAACATGGCAGCACTTTTAGCAAAGGCAGCTGTGTTGGCTGAAAGTTCTGAAATATAGAAGTAACACTCAGTACAAGTAACTAATTTGTTATGTTACTCTATGGTATAGATCACCAGAGCAGAGATCTCTACCTGTTGCAACCCTAATTTCACCAACTGAAAAATGCAAGCTGTATTTCCAAAGCTCATGACAAAATACACAAGGAGATCACATTGAAACTACATTTAGGATAATAGTATACAAAAAACTCTCCACCCACAAATGTTTTCCTGAGCCTGTTAATGTCACATTTACTCTGTCATGAGACTATTATCCAAAAGACCTAATTCAGGTAAAATGCAAGCCCATAAAACAAAAACTAAGAAAGCTACAGAACAATTTCAAACCAAACTGAACTGGTTTACAGCACAGTTGTTTCATGAAGCTGACAGTGGAAAAAAAAACTATGCATTTCACCACCACAAGTGGAATTTATTTCTTTTGGACTGTCCTGTTGACTGAAGTACCTCTAATCATGCCAAACGTAATATATTGCCATGTTTTGACAAACATTAGGTAAAAAAACAAAACCAAAACAACACATACCAGCATGGCTGGCATCTATGAGCTGAAGATTTGAGCTTATCCATTAACTAAGGCAATTACCTCATCAAATCCCATGCAAGCCTTCCTATACAAAGTTATCTCCTATGAGGGACCTTTGAACACGTATTTTAATCCAATTACTTAAGAACTGAAAGTGTGGGCTTGTTTTTAACTTCGTTGTTTTTGCAGAATCACTAGAACACCAGAAATGTTTGTAGGAAAAAAAAAGCCAGCAAAAAAAACAAACGTCTTCAGATATTTAAAACTTACAATTTAAATACATCTCTCAAAAAAATCCTTGCTTCCTCAAATCTCCAAGCAGCTGTCAAATCAACAGCAAACAAATGTATCTATTTTCCATTTTCATTAGTTCTTAAAATACCCTTTAATCTCAATTATTTGTTTATTTATTTAACTACGGAGAATAATTCCTGGGAGGATTGTGAAAAAGCAACTTCATGTACTTTTTAAAATAAAGTTTTGCAAGTCTACTCAAAATTTTGTCTTGATGCAGTAAGGTAAAAAAGGCACATTTATGGTCTTGCTCACACTACAAGTCAGAGTTGTTTTTTTTTTTTTATATATGTTTTTGTCGTTGTTGTTTTTAATTATTTAATATTCATCTTTGACAAAACAGCTGCATGGGTGGTTAAAACATTAAAACAAACTCACAGGCACTCTGTAATACAAGCAAGCCCAAAGCTGATGTTCTATGATTAGTTATCTTTCCAGAAAAGTTTACCTTAACAGTAGCTAATGATATGTCATTATGTGGACAAAACAAAAAAAATTCCTGTTTAAGAATTTAAACTTGGAGCAATATTGAATCATGAGATGTTTAAATGGATTTATACAACAACTTTTTGCTTGGAAGGAAACTGATCTTGCCATGAGATCTAGAGATACGTTTATGGATGTCTACTGTAGTAGAATTACTTGCTAGATATGGTGTTAGATTTCTGTTAGATCTCTGCAAGACAAAAACAACTAAAAGCAACTAACTTTCATGTTCAACAGAAGGGATAACAGACATTCTCAATAAAATAAAGATTAAACGAGGCATACCAAAAGTGCAAGAGTAGTTTACAGTAACAGGTGTAATTTTAAGATTTTTTTCATTAAAATTTACTGTATAACTCTACTTAGTAGTTAAGACCATCACCATTTCCTACAGTTTTAAGCACGTAAGGTCATGCAACCACATAAAAGCAAAATTACCTTTTCTGTGGCAGACCAATGCTTCAACACTGGCATGAAGTTTCTTAAGTTGCTGATCCAGATTCTCAAATTGCTGCTGTTTTTCTTCAAACCACTGACAAAAGATGAAAGAGTCAAGCATTACAAATTAGATTACCAGCAACATTTCTTGTTTTAAAGCAGCAAATTATCCATGTACTGCCAGGGTGGTCAACTGACACAGTTAAGAATCCAAGCCAATAAGCAAATTAATAACCCATTTTCTCCTTCTACAGCCTTAAAATGCAATTGTTGAGCCTCATTAATTCGTCTCATTATTCAAGTCGAAAAATCAGCTCTTACTGCATCCGATTCATTCATCTTGATTGTCATTTTGTTGACAGCGTCGGCAGCCTTGTTCACCATCCTCAATATTCCTGCTCCACTCAGAGCCTGGGTGTTAACCGCTCTCGGCAGCTGGAATTGAATGACAAATAAGGGCAAACAGACTGGTTAAAAGGATGGAGGTTTAACTGGGCACAAGGGGGAAAGAAAAGGATATAGTGTTTTCTTTAGTCCTATGTGTTTCAATATAGTGGAATCTAATTTCTCAGATTTACTACTTTTACATTCTCAGAGGAAAACTTAAAAATATAGACCATTTACTTTTCTTCTACATCTTTACATTTAAATGGAACAAACAACCTACTTGTCCAAAGTTATTATGAACTAGCCAAAGGTCCTAACTAGCCACCTATATGCTACAGAGAACAATCTGCCATTGCAGGAGCAGCGAAGCTTAGACTTACAATAAATTAGATGAAAAAAATCTGAAGTAATTCATTATAATGCAAGATTTGCACTGTATACTGATCATAAAACGTTGATGTATTTTTTGCTTTTCAATAGAAGACAGATTTCAAAACATACCTCATCAGCATTGAGAGAACTGTGTATTGTTTAGGTATTCAGAAATCCTCAGAGGTTAATATAATAGTAATTTAATATTATTTTCAATTTAGTCTAAATACACTGTACAAGGTGGGCTCCCATGTCAGACCATTTACCTTTCACTTGTAATATTTTGCCTGTCAGCAGTGTTGACAAAACCACTTTTAGTTATCTATCAGTGATGCTTTTGTCAGTAGTGAGGCTTCAAACTTATTAGCATAGCTAAGACATCAACACTGGCCAAAAGACAATGTTACAGAAAATCCACTATGCACATGTACAGAGGTATATAATATCTTTAGCAAAACATTTAATTTTGTGAAAGGTGCCAGACTTTCACTGCACTACTGACTGAAGTCCTCTGTTCACAAAACTCCTAGCCTGGCCAGCAGTGCTGCAAGCGTGATCACGTTATCCCCCCAGCAAACATCAGGTTGGACTTGTAGAGGCAAGAAACCCATCTCCAAGTCACCTCAATTCCTGATCTTATTTACCTATCAGTAACCTCAATAACAGATAGTCACCGTATGCATGACAAGCTTCACTCAAAATTGGACAGACTGACTCAGTTGAGAAGTCACTGTAAAGCAGACAGCTTCATCAGCACTATCAGACAATGTTTTATCAGAGGCACAGGCAGACTATTACCTAGGTTGCCTTCTGCAATTCTGTCCCATGAAGGGTACAATCTAGTTTTACTTCTCATGAATTTAGGAGATTAGGTCTCAACAGAAAGAGAGTATAATATATTATATTGAATATTACCATATCTAGAAATAAATACGAGAACTTTAAAGAACTTAAATACCTCAGAACTTTCCAAGAACTGCCTTAAATCTGGATCTTGTAACAAGGTTGGGTGTTTTACTGTTCGCTGTAGATACCTATGATTTTAAAAATTAAAATATTAGATAACAGAACAAATTTAATGTGACTGACAGCATTGGAAAGCATCCTTCATCTAAAGAACTGGTACAATACAGGCAGCACGCAGTCTCCCTCAATATCTAATGGGGTTTGAACACTCCTGTAAAGTCACCTCTAAACACTCAGAGGACAGTTCTATGCCCCTTCAACCTTTTGCCTCTCTGCTGAGTGTTCAAATCATACTTCTGCATTCTGACACCTTTCTCCAACATATGCTTAGGTTGTGGGCTATAAAGAGTTACAGGCTAGCACCACTAAGCAGTTTGAACATTCATTGAAGTCTTAGGCTGCCACAAAACCTGAACCTTCTGATTAAAAATGATCCAGCCCCATGCACTGCATACCATAAAACAACACAGCAAAGTTGATGGTTTCAAAACTACTTTGTTTAAACCAGAAACTCCTTTAGGTGGGATCTGCCATACCTGTACATTGTGCAGTGTTAAAATATTATACTTTGTATTTTTGACAGCTAAATGAAATCCTCCTGCTCCAATAACAGTCACTTTAGGCCAGGAAAAAAAGACAACAACAACAACAAAAAGATGAGCTTGTTTAAAAATTCTTGCACAGTGCAGTAGACAGGTTTTTTGTTACAGCTAATTTTGCCTCACTTGTTTTAGAATAAAATGAAGTCTTGAAAAAATGAGCTGATTATGTTCTAGCTATGAGCTCCTTATTTTCTGGCTAGACTAGACCTTCAACCCCTAGTAGTTCTTCAGGACTCATCCACTCAGAAGTGATATTAATGCAGCTCCTTTCCTTTGCAATTTTTTTGCATTTCCAGTTGATCTAACAACTATTGAACAAGCACGGGTTAAAGAGTGAAAATTCAACAGCATTCTTCCACTAAAAACTGCTCTAAGTTTGTCATAACTGACTTTGGTATTATGGACAAAGTGTCACATTAGTGCTTTATAGAAACGTAGTACTTCAAAATGTCATGTGAGCTTAAGTACATAATGTTGCCAATTAAAATATTCTGACAGAACACTATCAACAGCACTTTGTACCTTTTGGAAAGCTTAATTTTTCCCAAGCCTCTGCTGTGAATTGCCAGACCCAACCCATTACCTTCACAAATTGCTTAAAAAGTGACCTTAGAAATGTAGAAAGGGACTCAACTGAAAGCATGAGTACACTGAAAACGAACAGTGTATTTTCTCCATCTGCCATTAGATATGGTAACCAGATACTTTTATTTTCTTCCTAAAGAAGCTAAGGGTTGCAGTGAAACTATTTCACTCAATGGATTGCTCAACTTTTCCTTGCTCTTCCAAACACTCAACACATTAAAGTTGACATGGCAGGCAGCTGAAGAGATTTTTCTTTAGAAATCTGCTGCTACAGAATAACCCTTAGTCCAAGGGAGGTTTCAAGTATTTTCCTTGGACACAACTGGCAGTGTTGCTTGAGGGTATCTGGCAGACTTGCAGTATGTAAGTTCAATATTCTAGGCCATGAATTTTAGTGAACTCAATCAGGCACATTGCTTTGCTGCCCACTTTCCCCACAGCTCTGGGCTCACTGAAGCAAATTGAAGCAGATGTCTCTGGTTTGACATTCTGGTGCACAGTAATGGTTTGCTTAGGTTTATGAACAAACAACAAAACCACTGCTTTTGAATACCATTTGAGCACCATGGTAGGCAGGTAACTTTCATTTTGGAAGAAAAAGCCAGTTAAAATTGGCATGATGAAAAAGTTGTTCCTTGCCAGATAAGATTTTTATAGTCTGAGGAAAAAAAAAGAAAAAAAAAAAAGAAAAAGAGAGATGTAATAGTGCGAAGTCTTCCTAACAACATCAAAAAGTCCTGACAAATTCACTCCCCAGTATAGGAGGCACACTTAACATCCATTATAACTTGTATACCAGTAGAATTCCTTTAGCAAATAAGTGACAAATGAGCATTTAAAGCATGCATGCAAGTTAATGAATTAAACTTGTCCAAGTCATTCAAACGAGCAACCCAGGGGGAAACTAGTCATCTTTGTTATTGACAAAGCTATGTGGAAGCATCTGCTCAGTTATCTACTCCAATCCCAGCTGTTACTCCATCTTTGTCTCACAGCACCATTCATTTAGGAACACACTTATTTAAGCATGAACAACGTGCTTTGCAGTTCTACACCAAGTGACAGAACTACTTCAGTAACTTCTGTGTGCAATTTTAAGAAGGAAATTTTGTCACATACCAATTTTCAGTGAGAAGTAACTGTAAGATGGGACATCCTATCAGTATTTGAGATTTTTGAGGTTCAATATCAGTTGGATGCTCTATTACTTAGCAAATAAAAAGATATTAGGAACATGATTCCAAAGAGATGTATTTTGATTAAGATTATATGTCAAAAGACATATCAAACAGATGATGTATGAAGTTCTTGAGCTTTTGGACCCTAGAGACAAACTAAAACCTTTCATTTTTGTCAATTTTCCTGTTTAACTACAACTGTTGTTATATGGAATATTGTTTTCAAATGATGCAATCACAGCTACAGCATAAAATAAAATCATACTAAAATTAAGTTTGTATATCTGCACAAGTTTTTCTAGTTGCTTTCAAACATCTTTATTTATCCATGCCAACAAGAAGGGATGATGCAGTGTATCTACAGAAGTACCCTTATGGGGCAGAGATGCTTTAACAATATTAGCTGGATACCAGCGCTGGGTGATTTTTTTTTTTTTCCACCAAAATTCAGCTAGTCACAACTACACATTGCAAGTCATCAAAGTACCACTTTGGTTTCCAGTGACTGAGGGTCTCTTTCACCCTTTTCCCTTCCCAGCAGCTGACTTTCTATGAAAGAGACATATTTCTGAAATGACTTAATTCCTAAATAACAAAATGCCTAAGCAAACTGATGAAGAAAGTTTTGATTACCGGATTCCTGCAATCTCAATTCTAAGCACTTACCAGCTTGAAAAGATGTAGCATTAATCTCATATATAAATAAATCTACATTTCCAGTTATTAATAGGAATTACACACATTTCTACAAAGATTTAGGAGATGCATGCAGCCTCCAGAATTCACCTAGGTACAGATGGCCCAGATCCCAGTTACAGAGTCCGCAAAGTATCTTAAAAGTCATCTTGAGGCTAAACAAGTTTTAGATGCATATATTACCTTTCTAGAGCTGCTCTTCTTTTTTCTACAAATTCAGTAGATGAAGAATCTTCCTTGCCTACTTTAACCTTGGTCATGCCTTTGAAGAAAATGTCATCATATTGATTTTACTTTATTATATAAAATTCATTAACATAACTGATACAATTAGAAGATAAAGCTCACCTAAATTCAGGTATTTAAGTCAAATTAAAATGACAAATACTACTCTGGAACAGACAAAATGTAAGCATTGCATGCTACATGGTCTTCTAGGAACAGTTCTGTGGAATACGCGATTTCCTGTAACATATTATTGTGGTTAAAAGCTATAAAGATCTTTTGAATTTGGATTTAAGACAATCTAAATGAAGATCAGAGTCTTACAAGTCACTCAGGTTCAAAATAAGAAAACACTCTAATAAACCAGAATAAGAAAATAAATTTCAGTTACAATCCAATTAATTGGTATGTTCATTACCAATATTTTCATTCTATTGTCTTCTATGTTCTAAAACTAAGACGTTTTCAATTAACTAACATAAACTAGCCAGCTCTGAAAATTCTGAAGCATACGAACAACTACACACTGAATGGAGAGTAAAATATACATGGCTTTACATCACTTCCTCTGATGAAGTCAATAGTGGTCAAAGAACAATGACTGTGGAGTTCTTGATGTCTTGTGGTATGGGAAATATATTCAACCTTATAAACAGAAGAACTCTAAAACTGTGAGAGTGCGAACAGCATCTTTCATGCTAAAAACCCACACTCAGACGGTTCAGGAACCAGAGTACTACCATAACCACCACGAAACACTGAACATTCAAAATCATTCTTATCTTCTAAGACATAGGAGAGGTATGCTATGATTTAGAACTAATTTCTACTTGTGTATTTCTGTTCTATCAGTTCTGTGCTTTTCAAGCTACAAGTTCTGTGCAGAAAACTCTGAATATTTGAATTGGTACTCTGTGATCAGTCACATGAGCAGTTTCCAAAGTTATTTCTCTGCCAGTTTGTTTTCTTAAAAATAGTAATTAAAAAAACAAAACAAAACAACATGATTTTCCAAAACAGATACGTAAGCAGTAAGGTGGTTGAGACGAATGTTCAACTCCAGCTCACCACCGACTCAGTTTCACCTTTTTGTTCCACGGGATATTCAGTAATTCACCATTTGAATTTGTGAATAAGGCCTCAAATGCAGGCCACTCCCACCCTTCACAAAAAAAAGAAAAATCGAGCTTGGAATTCCAGGCATCATCAACCAGTGTAATAGAATGTACAGATGAAGGTCTTTTGTAGAACACACATGACATAAAACTGGATATAGAATGTTTCATAATAAGACTTTAAAAATAAATGTGTGTGATGTGAAACGTTTGTTTACTTTCAGCTGTTTTAATAGCTCTCTGCTTTAGGATACCTTATTTAAAATCAGAATCCCTTCAGAATTAGAAAACTATGGACGATACATTTTTGGACAGAACTAAATACCAGTCATGCGCTGAAGGGGAGTCAGCTCACGTTTAAAGCATGACTTTCATGTTGTTCTGAAAACATCCTACAGAGTCTGTGAGTCTTCCTAACTTACCTACACCTTCAGATTCTTGCACAGAAATTTTCTTAAGTCACTGCCAGTGCTTGCTTATGCTACAGTAAGGCCCACCATTTTGCTGACTTCCAGGTATAACAGTAATTATGCTGTTTTTTATTCTAGGGGAACCTTGAATTCAGACCCATCTTTGTCTTACATGTGAATATGACTGCACAGATTAGAACTTATTTCACAAGCACAACACAGGTATTAAAATATTTCATTTGTATTACAGTACATAAATGACATGCATACCTTAAACCTTACAGAAACTAGACTTACCTACAATACTTTTTTCTGGAGCTGGAGGCACAATGTAACCAATATGCATGTACTTTGTTGCTAATTTGCTGTGCAAGCCAAGAAAATCACTGAATCTTCTTTTAACAGAGAATTCATTTTTGTGAAACATAGAAAGGGATGTCTTAAAAAAAATAATAATAGTTTTAGTTACAATTTTCTGATGCATCTACTTAGCTACGATATAAAGTTATCTGCAAGTATTTCTTGCGCTAGTTACCTTTGTTGTTACTCTGTATGCCATATAAGCGTTCATGCCATCCCCTGTAAGAAAATTAAAATACTTAGCCTAGAGCAAGTTACTTTAATCCTTTCATGTACTTTTTGTTCTAAACTATACATTACATATCTTTCCATTTAGATATTAAGAGTTACCAAAAGGTAACTGAGTAAGAAATAATACTAAAATCTCACAACATTCTTCAAGAAATGTGACAGTCTACCCACATCTGATTTACTAGGTTGAAGGAACTTACCAACTTTCTCTGGATCTGATACATTGATTTCTATATCAAACATATCCCCATTTGCTTCTTCTTCAATCTAGGAAGAAGGATATGCCATATTTAGCAAGATAACATGAACATATTATATACAGGTACAAGGATAAGGGTATAGGGGAAATAGCAGGAAGATTAAGTATAACTTAATCTTCTGTGTATAACTTTAATCTTTAGTGTATAACTAAAATCTGTTTTAGACCCACCATCCAACATTAAGTGAATATACTTTCTAATACTGGTTTTAATTTTAAGCCTCCCTGCAAAAGCCTTTAGTATGGCAGCCCCTTCTCAAGCCATGTTAGCCTCAACTTTTAGCATATATTTAACTTGAGGGTATATTACTTTGTTTTTTATCTCCTCCAATGTCAGCAGATAGTATGGTTCAAAAAAAAGCGTTCTCATTCCCAATGTTTTTGTAAGCATTTAATCAAATGGTATCAGTAACACAAGAGCTTGGGAGGGGAGAAATGATAGCTAAAGAATTTCAGATACTTGCTTGTAGTCATGCACAATTTCCTGACCTTTTCATGCAATATTTCTAAGTTCGATAGAACATAGATCTAAGGGAACACCATAGCAGAAAGGACAGTGTGACATGGCTGGAGGTGAGGAAAATAAGAATAAAATGCCATCTTGAAGCATTTCAGGAAGCAGGGATCTTCAAATCACAGACAAGTCTTGCTTGCAAACTCGTTTGCCCCTGACATTGTCCAGTAAGAGGATGTACTCCTGGTCAGGCCGGCGTGGCTGACCAGGAACATTCTTATGGAGATTAGGCGGAAACAGAGAGTGTTTCACTACTGGAATGAGGGCCAGGAGACATGGAAAGAATACAGGGATGCTGTTCGTGTTTGTAGGAAGAAAATTCGTGTGGCTAAAGCACACCTAGAGTTGAAGCTGGCTGTGTCTGTGAGAGAAAATAAAAAGGGTTTTTTTAGATATGTGAATGGAAAAAGGAGAACTAAAGAATACATAGGACCGCTCCTTGATAGGGAAGGTCTTCTCACAGACGATGACATAGGCAAAGCAGAGACGCTTAACGCCTTCTTTGCCTCTGTCTTCAATGCCGATGATGGCCTTCGGGACCCAGGGTGCCCTGAGCTGGAGGTCCGGGACGGTGGGGATGACAAACTCCCAACCGACCCTGAACGTGTGCGGGATTTGCTACTCCACCTGGATCCCTACAAGTCCATGGGTCCGGATGGGATTCATCCCCGGGTGCTGAAGGAGCTGGCGGACGTCATCGCGGAACCTCTCTCAATTATTTTTCAACGATCCTGGGAGTCTGGAGAGGTCCCGGTAGACTGGAAGCTGGCAAATGTTGTGCCGATTTTCAAGAAGGGTCAGAAAGAAGACCCTAGCAATTACAGGCCTGTCAGTCTCACGTCAGTGCCTGGTAAAATCATGGAGAAGATGGTTCTCGAACGTATTGAGGCGCACCTGGGGGACAAAGCAGTCATTGGTCCCAGCCAGCACGGGTTTGTGAAGGGTAGGTCCTGCCTAACTAACCTGATTTCCGTTTATGATAAGATCACCCGTATGGTGGACCAAGGGAAACCAGCTGATGTGATTTTTTTGGACTTCAGCAAGGCTTTTGACACCGTTTCCCATAGGATCCTACTGGACAAAATGTCCACCATACAGCTAAATAAAAACATCATACGATGGGTGAGCAATTGGCTAACGGGCAGGGCCCAAAGGGTTATGGTGAATGGCGCTGCGTCAGGCTGGCGGGCGGTCACTAGTGGGGTCCCTCAAGGCTCCATTTTAGGGCCGGTCCTTTTCAATATTTTTATAAACGATCTGGATGTAGGAATAGAAGGCATTTTGAGCAAGTTTGCTGATGACACCAAACTTGGAGGAGTTGTGGACTCGAATGAGGGTGGAAAGGCCTTGCAGAGGGATCTGGATAGGTTGGAGAGCTGGGCGATCGCCAACCGCATGAAGTTCAAGAAGAGCAAGTGCCGGGTCCTGCACCTGGGATGGGGAAACCCTGGCTGCACGTACAGACTGGGTGATGAGACGCTGGAGAGCAGCCTAGAAGAGAGGGATCTGGGGGTCGTGGTAGACAACAAGTTGAATATGAGCCGGCAGTGTGCCCTGGCAGCCAGGAGGGCCAACCGTGTCCTGGGGTGCATCAAGCACGGCATCGCTAGCAGGTCGAGGGAGGTGATTGTCCCGCTCTACTCTGTGCTGGTGCGGCCTCACCTCGAGTACTGTGTGCAGTTCTGGGCACCACAGTATAAAAAGGACATGAAACTGTTGGAGAGTGTCCAGAGGAGGGCTACGAAGATGGTGAAAGGCCTGGAGGGGAAGACGTACGAGGAACGGCTGAGGGCACTGGGCCTGTTCAGCCTGGAGAAGAGGAGGCTGAGGGGAGACCTCATCGCAGTCTACAACTTCCTCGTAAGGGGGTGTCGAGAGGCAGGAGACCTTTTCTCCATTAACACCAGCGACAGGACCCACGGGAACGGAGTTAAGCTGAGGCAGGGGAAGTTTGGGCTGGACATCAGGAAGGGGTTCTTCACAGAGAGAGTGGTTGCACGCTGGAACGGGCTCCCCAGGGAAGTGGTCACTGCACCGAGCCTGCCTGAATTTAAGAAGAGATTGGACTGTGCACTTAGTCACATGGTCTGAACTTGGGTAGACCTGTGCGGTGTCAAGAGTTGGACTTGATGATCCTTAAGGGTCCCTTCCAACTCAGGATATTCTATGATTCTATGATTCTATGATTCTACTCTGGAATGAATGACATTTGCCAATGCCCTGACTTTGAATGCAACACCAAATGTAATCTGCCATCTTAAAACCACGATCAGCCTCAGCTGTATGGAGGATAAGGCTGAAAACTGCTCTCTCTGTTTCCCCATTAACAATTACTTCAGAAATCCAAGTTAAAAACTGTAACACGATAGCAAGAGTTATATATCAGTAACATTTCTATTGATCTCCAATACAGTTACCTGGCTAAGGAATTCTCCTCATATTTTAAATATTCAAATGCCTATCACACTTTAAATGCCAAAAAATAGATTATTTTTTTAATACTTCCCCTTACCAATGGATGGTCCTGTGAGTTGAAACTTAGAAACTATCATTTAAAAAATAAAAACAAAACCCCAACATAACAAAAAAAATAGCCTTCAAAAACCAAACAAAACATTTCCATAATTTACAATTTGCTGGATACCTCTTCTCTGGATCTATCGAAAATGGCAGGGGATGTTACACTTTTCGATTCCATTCTGGGAGCTACTAACGTAGTAGGTGTCACAGGAGTGATTGCAGGAGTAGGTTCTGGTGAAAGTATTGGGTCCCTCTCCGGACTGTCCAACGAAACTTCTTCTGTGGCTTCTAGGTAAAGATTTTGAGTTAGCAAATAAGTTTTCATGTAGTTGATACATATGTCCATCATAAAAAAAAAAAACACTAAAAAATTACAATATGTAAGTTTAGTAAGATCACCTGTAAATAGCATCCATTTGTGCTAGATAATTTCTTTAAATATATAGCTAAAACTGGATGTGATACTTGACTCTCATGTATAATGGGTTAAAGTAATATTAATATCACAATTCTTTTTTCACATGCTGTCAGGTAAACAGTCTTTTAAAGCAGTCATGGAAGCCATTCATTTCTGTAAGACATTTTGTGAAAACTGGTGATTTTTTTCTATCCTACAGACTGCTCTTTTTCAGCACCTACGCCAGTTTTAGGCTTTGTACCCTGAAGCTTATTTACTCATACAGGCTGACAATCAAACATACCAAGCAAAGTAGTATGTTTTAAATGAAGTTTAAAACAGAACCACAGTGCACCCCCGCCCCAAGACCATAACCTATAAAATAACCTATTTGTAGGTTACATCTATTAAATAACCTATAAATAACCAATAACCTATAAATAGACCATAATCTATACAATAAAAGTATTTTCAGTAGATGAGGCATTCTGACTAGCAGAAACAGTTTTATTTTCTACCACCTTTTTAGGGCTTACAACAGTTCATTAGAAACAATATTTCTTTAAGACTGTATACAGTTCATCTGTATTAATAGAGGATCTAAATCTCTGCTCTACAAATCCTGCACGTGTTCCTTGATTAACTGGTTTTGACTGTGGGTAAACTATACACTTCTTGGGTATAGAGAAGTTCCAGTTCTGGTTTACTTAACTAATGCTGTGGTTCTTGTAAATGTGCATTTTAAAGAAGTTTAGTTCCCTAAAGGATAATAATGACCACAGAACCATCATTTGATATGGATATATCTCAAGATGCATTTACAAACTTCCCTGCAGAAAGTTCCAACCACTTTACCAAGCGTAGCTTCAGGCACTAAAGCAGATCCACTCCAGGTTGTGCAGTTACCAAAAAGGTTTACTATGCAAATATACAAATTGAAGAGAGCTGTTCTTGCAGTTTCTGTATATCTAACAGCTCAATTGTCAAGAGAAAATAAGATACCTTCCTTCCAACCTTGTTAAAGCCTGGTGTTCTGAAAGTTATTATTAGTATTACAAGTCCTTATGTAAGGGTTAAGAAAAGAGCAGTTTTAAAGACCTGATCTACTTTAAATTTTTTGAAATTGTTACACCATGTGTGAAAAAGTCTCATTTTGTATGCTAACTGGCTGCTAACGGCTTGGATGGATGTACTACTACTTGCTAGACAAAAAAATACCTGGATGATGGGTCCAAAGGGTCATTGTGAATGGTGGCCAGTCACAATGGTGGCCAGTCACATGTGATGTTCCCCAAGGGTCAGTATCGAGGCTATTTTTTTTTTAATATTTCATACTGGGTTTGCATGGCAAGGTTTTGGTAGCAGGGGGCTGCAGGGGCAGCCTTTGTGAGCAGAGCCCAGCAGCTGCCCCATGACAGAGCAGAGCCAGCTCCAGCTACTCCAAGCGGGACCTGCTGCTGGCCAGAGCTCAGTCATGGGCGACACTGGGTGGGCCTCTGGAAGAACAGAGTTAAGGGAGGGAAAGAACTGCTGGGCAACAGCAGCTGGGAGAGAGGCGTGAGAAAATAGAGCAACAGCCCTGCAGCCCCCCAGGGGAGTGCGCAGGAGGGCAGGAGGTGCTGCAGGCAGGCAGCAGCAGTTCCCCTGCGGGCTGTGCAGGGAGAGGCCCCTGGTGGAGCAGGCTGTCCCCCTGCAGCCCATGGGTCCCCCATGGAGCAGATCTCCACGCTGCAGCCCCCCCATGGGTGGAGGAGCCCCCGGTGGAGCAGGTGGATGTGGCCTGGAGGAGGCTGCGGCCCATGGAGAGCCCCCGCAGGAGCAGGCCCCGGGCCGGAGCTGCAGCCCGTGGAGAGGAGCCCACACAGTGCTTGAAGAGCAGTGCTTGAAGAGCTGCTGCCTGTGGGCAGCCCCCACAGGCTCAGTTAGGGAAGGACGGCATCCCTAGGAAGGACCCCAATGGGAGCAGGGGCAGAGAGTGACCATGAAGGGGTGGCAGAGAGAAGTGCTGTAGCCTGTGGAGTCACCATCCCTGGAGGTATTTAAGTGTTGTGTGGACACTGTGCTTAGGGACATGGTTTAGTGGTGGGTCAGCAGTGTTAGGTGGATGGTTGGAGTGGACCATCCTAAGGGTCTTTACCAACCTAAATGATTCTGTGATTCTCTTCTCCAGGCTACAGTCCCAGCTCTCTCAGGCTCTGCTCCTGTGCCAAGCACTCCACGCCCTTTACCATGTTAGAGGCCCTCTCCTGGACTCTCTCCTGTAGCTCTGGGGAGCTCAGAGCTGTGCTCAACACTCTGGGTGAGGACTCTGAGCAGAGGGGAAGGATCACCTCCCTTGACCTGCTGGCAATCTTCTTCCTAATTTTCAGGTTATTGATTTACATAGTACTTTCAAACTAAACACAAGCACCTTTTAAATTCTTCATTTTAGTATGAGCAAATATTTTTTTTCTTGAAAAGCTCATAACTTTCCTTCCACTTTTTTATTCTTATTGCTAAATCTTTTTGAAGAATCCTGCTGTTCCTTCCTACCCTCAAATGCCACAGAGAAAGGATATACCATTAATACAACAAAGAAGTTTAGTTCAAAACCTCAGATGAGGTGGGAAGTCATGCTGACACAGATGGAAAAAAAAAAGCTTTTAGACTGAGATGGTGGAGGAACCACATTTAAATACTGAAGAGAGGTAGTTCTCTTATTTGTCTGCTAGCAGCATTCAACATACATAAGAATTTATTCAACTGACTGTTTCACCGAAGTATATAAGTATATATGGACACATGCACACATACATAAATAGAGCCGTTCTGCTTTAATTCACTCTTTTTCTACCACCTGCTATGTTCCAACACAAACGTCTGGAAATCGAACCACTAGCCATCAGTAATCACCCTGCTGTACCTTAAAATTTTAGACAGGACTATAACACAAGTACTGAAGGCATTCACACCACACCGATCTCTCACCATCATCAGTTGAGAAAACATTTCTGTGAAAACGCGACTTCACAAAGGCAGTGTGAATTAAAGGTGTCAAACCATCACTGCTGTCAGGTAAAGCAGTGGCACACACACCTTCCCCACCACTCCTCTTTCTCAGACCTGTATCCACAGACCCCTTAGTAACATGAACTGATCCAGGTTGAGTTGATTACTACATGAAATCCAGCCAGGATCAGCCCCCTACCACTGTTCAGACAACAGCTGAAGCTACTCTGCTGGATTGTTTCTGTAAGAGGAAGCAGCAAGAACAAGCAGTTGAAAATGCAAGAAGCTTTCCTATCAGAAAGACCACCACCTTGCAACTGCAGGATTAGAACTGGCATAACAGCAGACTTCGTTCACACCAGCATTTCTGGACCTGTGTGACTCCAGCTTGGTTGAGAATTAACAAGTCTTGCAAAGTGTTGCCTATGAGCCCTCCTCTTCTGTTTTCCTGAGAGAATTTATGGACAGGAAAAAAAAGTATGTCCGAATGATAGCAGCAAGTCAGTTATTTTAGGAAGAAGAGTTTATGCTGCCCTTTCCTGTTACCTCTCACCCCCAAGGCTGCATGCACCCAGCATATTACATAAATCTAGAAGAGTGAAATGGAAACGGCAGTGGAAGGGGGTGAGTGGAGAGAGCAGGAGAAGAAAAGGACATCATGCTTCTTGTTCAGAAGCAAAGTATTAGAAGCTAATTTCAGAAGTAGGTTATTGTCATTCAAGACAGATTCTGAAGGGGAGAAGAAGCATTAGCTCTATAATAAGAATAGCAGGCTATTACACTTTCTAGCTATTCTTTCTTTCCCCTCAGAAAAGCAGTCTTTAACTAGTATATTTGCTAAAGGATTATTTCCCAAGAAACAGATTTGTTCAGATGACCTCTGGCAGTTACGCTTCTCATACACATTCTTTTAATTTGAGAAATCAGGTGATGCAGTCTTTGCATGTGTTTTTGTTTTGTTTTGTTTGTTAAGCTCTGTATTAATATTTGCATGAAAAATGAAATTTGGATGTCTTACTTTACCGTACAGTTCTCAAAATCATAAGCTCTTCTTGAATAGAGGCAACTGCTCTGCCCAGCTTCAAGGAAGAAACACTGAGGTCCAACATATTTTCATGTCAGCCATGGCAGTTATCAGCACACGTTAAGCACTCCAACCAATCTATTGCTGTAAGACTTAATGCACACGAATTCCTGCTCTATAACCCATCAGTGGTCTCTGACAAAAGATCTGTCAAGATGCTTAGCTTCAAAAGAACATGAAAATATCTCTGCCTGCTACAAAAGACAACTAGTTAGGTTTAACATTCTACAGGCAACTGCACGAAGTTCCTATCAGCACTTAAGCAGGGAGCTCAATCTCAGCATCATACAGCTCCTGTTTCTTTACCTTTCACCACCAGTATTTGTCAAGCATCATCTCACAAAGTGCAAGTTTGCAATTCTTCACAAGCAGCTCACTTCAGCTGAGTAAGTTATTTTTACTGATCACACTTCTAAACATCATAGATCTCTTAACATTCTGACATCACATGAGTGCTCAAATTTTATTATCTTTGCAAATTTTTTCAGATGATCACATAGATTTTCACATAGATTTGGAAGTAAACTGAAGTCGAAACTCTTGTCCAGAACAAAGGATACATTTTATTTATTACAAGAAAAAAAAAAAAGCTTCACCAGGGTATAGCACAAATTGTAGATTTATATTCTAACAGGACTGACTGTTCTGCAATGCTTAAGTCATAGCCCATGACTCTTACTTTTACAAGAAGAGGACTAAAAATAATCTTAATGAGAACAGGAGCACTATAAACCAGTAGCTTCAAGTGCTTTTGTGTTTGGTTCTCACAGAAAAGACGTAGAGCTCACTACCCAGTTTCTAAAAGGTAGCCAGGCATCTGCACATATCTGCTCTGCTCAGACTATCACATGACAACAGCCTGACAGGCACGCTAGCTGAAAACTTGCTGTTCGGCTGATCTTCAAGTATTATCTTGTCTGGCCCACAGAATTGGGATGTTCTTTTCTGTACAAATTTCCAGGAGAAAAAAACAAAGGCAGCTAAGACGTATCTGTAACAGCCTGAATGAAAACAACACCCCCTCCAAAACACAAACCCTCCCCAAAAAAATCAACAAAAAAAAATCCCTACCAAAATGCATCAAGTTTCCCTGAGGACACAGTAGCTAGCTACTTGTACAAGAGGATGCACTCCCAAACACCTTTTGGAAGGGAAAAAAGCTAATATTCACAATCAGAGTGGAAAAAACTGAACTTTCTATTCTGAAAATGGTGACTGCACAATGGTACTGCTTAGCAGCCTTGCTTGTCACCTGTGAACACCAAAGGAAGAAAGCATAGACAGCCATGTCCTGCAAAGGCAGTCCACGACATGTTTCTGCAGTTAGATATGGAACTGGAGGCCAACATTTTGGGAAAAATGATTCAAGATTTAATTCATTACTCTTATCATATTCACTACTCGTAGAACCTTATGGATGGCCAGGTTTTACAGACAACTCAAAGACCTTTGAGCTACTCCTGACACTGAATGATTTGAAGCACTGACTATTATGGTTCCCACACGTAAGAAAACTATGGGGTAAGATAAAGTAATTCATTTTTGGCCAAATAATCATCACAATGACTTTCACTCTAAAGGTGAAAGTGCTTAAATGGGTTTAGTAGGACTGTTCATTTACAGAACCAAGAACCACAATACTGACAAAGGCAGCAGCAAAGTCTACTCATCTGCAACAGCAGACAGAGACCTCAGTTTCTTCCACCTTTACACGCCACTTTTAACAGCTCTGACAAAGCACTTACAAGTCAGCAGAGATGAGGAATATCTAAAACATTTTATTTCATGCACTTTCTAATGGCTGCCCCAGAAACACAGTAGCAAAGAGTCTTTAAGCACAGTCAAAAAAAGAAAAAAGAAAAAAAAAAAAAACAGATTCTGAACTGCATTAACACAATTCAGGAAATCATAGCATTTCTCCCACACCTTATTTAAGGTTGCATTGTTAGATAGATAATAAATAAATTTCAAGCCTACAGGAGTCAGAGAGAAATATCTCCACATTTTTACAAGTACGACTACAAAACTATAATTGTTTATACCTACAAAGAGTCAGAATCCTATGGATGGCTCCTGGAAGGAGAGATTTTCTTCACCTGGATTTTATAGCATCTAATAGTGATAGGAAGCTGTGGAACACCATTCTTGTTCCTACAGGCGAACTAGAGATTTCTCTGTAATTTCAACATGTCAGAGAAAAAAAAACTCAATCTCACTCATATTTTAACTAGGTCTTGCTTTCATAGAAAGCAAGGCTTATGCAATCAAGCTGAAGGCAAGAAAATAGATCTCTCACACAGCCTTCACACTGCTTCTATCCATGGCATTGTTTCTTTCAAGGACTGGATTAACATCACTGTCTAACAAAACAGTCCTAAAAAAGAGAACCAGAAAGAGAGAAGTTATTCACTAGGATACAACTGTTTCATGCAAACTTCCTGCTTAGAACAAGATACTGCGAAAGATGTCATATTCTATCCTAAGCTCCACTAATTGCTCTTTTTCCTGCTTCAGAGCCCATCCTAGCCTCAGTCTGTATGTTAACTGACCTTTTACAGACCACTTTTTGTCGTGTTAGACATGCAGTATGTTAAATGCTTTCAGTTCAGTGCCATACGCATTTCAAAGAATGCCTCCCACGGCAAACTCAAACTCATTAAATCAGTTCCGTTTGTTTTCTCACAGAATCCACTTCAGCTGAAACAATCTGGCTGCTAACATTTGTTCCTTCTGTTTGGTTCCCATCAATATTTACTCCAGCCACCTTCTTCCTTCATATTATCCAGCCAGAAGAGAATTTGGCTTTCCTAAAATACCTATTCCAGATTGCTCTATGGTTACAAAAAGTTGACTTTAAATACTGTGTATGTTCCTAGTACTAGAAAGCTTCATTTTTAAAGCACTGCCAGTCTTTCTAAGTCATAAAATCAGGCAATATACAAAATAAATACAAAAGAAAGAAATACAAAAATACAAATACAAAAGAAATAGGAAAATGCCTCTGGTTTTTACTCTCTATTTCTCTTAAAACAGTTTCAGAGAGTTAATAAACTAGTTAATATATTCTGACGGTGTCATAAACAAATGTACATTCCAATATATGCAAATATAAGTTTGGTAAGTTCAGAACAAACATAATAGATGTGAATATAAATCTATCTATAAAAAATAGCCCAGAACTAAATAGAGTTAATTTAGAAATAGTTAATTAGTTAATTTAGAAACTAAAACTGAGAAATAGCTTGGCCAGCAGGAGCAGGGGGGTGATCATCCCCCTGTTCTCAGCTCTGGTGAGGCTGCACCTCAAGTGCTGTGTTCAGTTTTGGGCCTCTCAGTACCAGAAGGACATCGAGGCCCTGGAGCATGTCCAGAGCAGGGCTACGAGGCTGGTGAAGGGCCTGGAGCACAAGCCCTGTGAGGAGCAGCTGAGGGAGCTGGGGGTGTTTGGTCTGGAGAAAAGCAGGCTCAGGGGAGACCTTATTGCTCTCTACAGCTACCTGAAAAGAAGCTGGGGGTTGGCCTCTTCTCACAGATAACTGGTGACAAGACTAGAAGGAATGGCCTCAAGCTGTGCCAGGGGAGGTTCAGGTTAGAAATAAAGAGAAATTTCTTCTCAGAAAGAGTGACCAGGCATTGGAACAGGCTGCCCAGGGAACTGGTTGAGTCACCATCCCTGGAGGCACTCACAAAACACGTCGATGTGGCGCTGAGGTACACAGTATAGTGATAGACTTGGACTGGATCTTAGAAGTCTTTTCCAACCTAAATGATTCTATTTTTGAATGACTATAACAGGGAAATCAATGAAGATGAATTTAGGATTGTATTCAAAGCAGAGAGCCAACTGACTCACTCAGTAAGTAGTTGTAGAAACATTGTTACTATTGAGAAGAAACATTTGAAACCACCTCTTGATGTCCATAAACCTATTATACCTCCTTTCCTGAACAGTAAATATACCTGTAATTGTGACAGAAACCATATCCCATGTTAGGATATGGGTTAGTAGACAAGCAACATTAAGTAGTGACTGATTAATAAGGGATTGGAAATATTGACTGGTTACTTATCAAAGCTATCATATATCTCTCTTCAAACATGCAGTACTGTCATGAATCAAATGCTAGTGAATTGATAGGACTTTTCTTATATGCTGGTCTGTTACCTTTTCATTATAATAAAAAGAGTCTTGTGGAAAAAGGAAATACCCCCTGGCTTGTAATACCATCTGAATTACCTTTCTTCATAACTGGGAAATGACACGAATACTTTATGTATAGGTACGAAGCAGAAAACAAGGATGTAACTTAAATTGTGGTGTGTTTTTTTTGTTCTGTTAATTACATTTTACTACTTTATTGCTATCACCAGAATGTGTTACTAACCAGCTAACACTGCCACACTACACAGCTAGGGTACACACCACTGAGAAACTGGTACTTACACAGACTTAACCAATTCTATAGTCGCACAAGAAAAAACCTGTGTATCATTGTCAAATAAAAAAAATACACTAAATTTTTCTATTAAATAAGTTCCCCGAGGTGCCACTAATTCAGTATGTGAAAGTAATTTTTAATTTACTTTACAAAAATATATATTGTCAAGAGTGTAATAGAAGTGTTTACTCCTGAGACAACACACACAAGTTTAGTTGAAAAAAAAATCCCAGTTTCACCTTCTCAATTAATCAAAACTTATCTAACCTGAAGAATAAGTCATATATCACTTTGTTTTTACTAATAAGAAAGATAAAATCTCCTGGTTTGAGTTCGAAATGAAAGGCTACATTCCAAACCAGTTTTACAATAATGCACGATCAGTAGCAAGATGTATTAACAATGACGGAACAACTTTGGGCAAAGATGAATCTCATCTGTTTTTCCTTTTTAGTGCATTATTTCTCCTGCTAACTTTCAAGTTTAGAAAATGAACAGTATTTCATAAGACCATAGGACTTTAAGTAAATACAAGATTGTTGAACCTAGCAAACAACATTGAAGGCAGCAAGGGACACTTCTAATACCTGAATGCATTAATTCATTACTTAATGAAATTTCCAGGAAGTGTACCTTCAACAGACTAAGAAACAGTTAAGACTGGCTACAACTCTCAATTGCATAAAATTAAAATTTAACTTTCCATTGCAACGGTACTGCTTCGTATTTCCTTACAGCCAAGCCAAGAAAATGACCTTCTACAGCACAAAAAGGTTTTAAACCTCCTCCCCAGAAAAGCATACTCCTTTAAGTCCAACAGCAAACAAGTTTATATGGACACACCAGAAGAAACAAGTAATTACCAGCAAAGAGGTCTTCTCTATCATCATCTAGCATGATTTCTGTCGGCTTTGGACCATTGGAGTTTGTGCTGAGATCTTCTGCAGGAAGACTTGCTGGCTCTGGAGATGAAGGACTTGACTGTTAAAAAAAGAAATAATTAGCACGGAGCCAGTTGCCACGTGTCCGCACAAGAATTATTGCAACAAGCATTCTTTCATTGCAAAGAAACAGGGAAAGATGTACAGAAAGGAAACCCTGTCAGCTATTTCCATTTCCTACTCTTAGTGTGATAACAATGAACAAAGGATATGAGCTGGTCAACAACTCTCTTCATTTCTTTGTTGGAGAAAAAAAAAAAGTTACTCATTTCCTCAAGTTTAATTAGCGTGAAACAAAAGCTGCTACAGAAGTATCTCGAATCATTTTATTAGTATTGCTGAATGTGATTTGATTAAGCTCCTTTTCAAAAGGCTTATATTTAGACTTGTACTTGGAAAAAAAATAAACAAATCTTCAAGTTCTCTATCCCATTTTTTCAGGGATTAGAAGAGTAGATTAATGCTACTAAAACAACTCAGCCCTGCTTGCAGCCATAAGAAGTTTTGGTATCTTTAACAGTTTGAATTCAGGGATAATTCCTACACAGGGTCACACTGCACTGACATGGAAGCTAGGCTTGCCACTGATGCAGGTTTTTTAATTCACCGAAGACTAGAATTTGTCCTGTGAAAAGAGAAATACTTGGAAGACACTCAGGAAAGCAAATGAATCGATACTGAAGTTGAGGTTCCAAGTATACAGCTTACTCAAAAAACAAATACACATGTAACCAAAGACCAGTGCTTCAGTTACCAAATTCTGTTGAGCATGCATCAGCTAGGGTTACTGCAACAGTACTAGAAAATTTGCAAGACTCACTTCCCACAGTTCCATCCCAGATAGCTAGCTAAGAGCTTTTCAACAACAGCGTATCTATTCATGAATGCATGCCCTTTTCAAGGGCATCTGTAAATTACGTCATTATGTGTTTCCTAATTTTTGCTGGGAGTTGTCATAATTTAGGTTCAGAACCAAAATTCAAAATAGGTAAGAAATGTTTCAGGCTACACTTCAACAAACATCATGGGCACTAAAAAAAGCCTGAAAACAAAACAAACAAACAAACAAAAAAAAAACAACACAAAAGTAATCTGTTCAGATTATATACTGCACATTCATAAGCACAGCATGGGTATTGGTCCTAAGGGAGAGGTCTTCCTGACCACCGGCTCTCAAAGAACAGCGTGTGTTCCGATACAACTGCAGCTTTACTTGAAGCAGCACAGAGAAGCATCCTGGCCCCCACATCAACCCAGATCACAGTCACCTGAAATTCTGGTCAGAGGAAGCAAGCAAGGAGCAAAAGCCTGCCCGAGAAGCTCAGAAACAGTACAAAATTGTTTTCTACAGGACAAACCAAATCAAGACTCCCTTGACCTCAAAATTTTTTCTTCTCAAGATGCAAGGAGAAAGAAAATACAAGTATGCCAGAAAGTCTGTGTTCCTTTAAACAGAAACCCCATGTTCCATTCAAATTACAGAAGGAGATTATATTCCCTTCCCTCTCCCACCAGCTGCCAACTCTCTGGGAATTCCACATGTAATCTGGGGAAAACAATAAAAAAATAAAGTCATGAGCAACAAAAGGAGCAGCCTCTCAAACTGCTTGCTATGCTTTTGCCCTAGTGCTTACTAAGAAAGTCAAAGCAGAAACACTGGGGAACTATACGAAGGTAGTAGTTTATAAACTTAGAAGCAAATAGTCCACTAGCCACAGGTACACTTCCCATCTCATACTACACCAATGCCTAAATGATCCCACAGCAAACACAGTGCTGCAAGGTAACAAAGTTGTATTTGTTCCTTCTGTGAAGCACCATCCTAAGTTGTATCACAAGACACATAATTAATTTAGAGGAAATGAGCTAGCAAGTTAAAGAAAAATAACCACTTGACATGCTCCATTATTCTACTTACGATAGCATAGATAGCATGCATCACATGGAAAGGTCAACACTGAAGCGAATTGAGAACTCGCAAGTAGCACATTCCCGAAGAAACAGCCTCTCTCTCTGTGTAGGGCTGCACAGAGCTGCAAGTTCAAGGTTGTGTACCTCAGCTAGAACAGCAAAGCCTTTATTTCCCTGTAAGGCTCCAGCAATTTATAGTTTTATCAGCGTAAGTGATTCTGCACAGAAACATCACAGATTACTCATTCCAAGTAAGGTTCTCCACTGCTTGACTCAGAGTAAAACCCCACTTGTGTATTTATGGTTTAGCACGTAGTGGGTACCCCACACCAACAGGGATGCAGAATGACACATAGTTCATGCTTGTCAGTTCACCTCCAGGAGAAACAGCTGTAACATGGCCAAGCGCAAGGAATAAAAGCCTTCCTGACACTTACTGTACACAGCAGATGGCTTCCAGCTTTATCCCTTAATTGTGCACCTGGTTACTGAATGGTGAAAAAAAAAAACAATGTGAAAAAATACATCTTCAAGATTTTCTCCCAGCCTATCTGCTGTTTTATCTGAGGCAGCTGTTTTGCTCACTGATGATGACTTTTGACTACATCTGTCTTCTAATTACAAAAAAACCCCTACCAGATAGAAAAATCACCCTGAACTCTTAGACCTGATCCACACACTGCGTAATAAGAACACATTTATGTGCCTAAATCAACGATTTAACCTAAGCCAATAGCAAACCATTCCTACCTCGAAAACTGGAAAGCCTTCGTAGTAGTAGACAAACACATGGAAAGATGCCACCAAGCCGTGGTAGGATTATGGATCTGTTTTCATTACTGAGCTGGGAAAGATGCTGTCCGTGGCACTACGTACTAGGCTTCACAGGCACAGATCAGTTACAGTGTGCTTCCTCCATAATTTGTTTACCCCATTTCCATGAAGCACAAGTAGAGAATACTTGCAAAAGGAGAGGCCTTGAACAAACCCCAGAGACACCTCAGAAAGGCTCAACAAACAAAGCTTATTTATGCAGCTGTTATAAATTGTTAAAAAGGAATGAGGTCTAGAAGCAACTCTCAGAGGAAGCCTTCCAGTGAAGCACATGCTCCTCCTATGCATTATTTGCTATATGAATATGAAATAAAATTTGTATTTGTTGTGTACTTCAAGTCCTGCTTTTTAAGAATAATAGGTATTAACGTTTAGCTTCGAGGATGATTCACTTCTAAAGGAAGATTTCTGTCATTTAAAATTGCCTTTTGCTGAATATGGAATTACCGGACCTATAAATCTTTAAATGTCTCTCTGGAATTTTTAAACAGCTGTCATTCTCAGAGGAGGTAAGTTAAGGATGGAGGTGACAAACAGTTGGAACTGTCTTTATATGAAGAAGAAAACTAAAAATGAAAAGTTTAAATCACACTGTATATGTGCATACAAGCTTCTTAAAGATGAGTAATGGTCTGAAGAGCTACAGTAGTTCTGCACACAGAACCAACCTGTTTTTAAGAGTTTCGTAACAGGTTAGGACGCTGTCTTCAAAAGTCATCTTCAAAACAGACAGCTGTTCTCAGTTGTTCATAGTGTCTTCAAAGTTCTGTTGGCTGATGTTACAGCCCTAGATGTTTGGGCATCATACCTTAACAACAGGGTCTCCCCCAAACCAGTTCAGCTACCTGTTTGAGCTGTGCCAAGCCTCCTTTGGTGGGGTCTCAGTAGGCTGACAGGCAGACCACCATAGTACTCCAGTTGCTCCAGGCCATCTGGCTGGTTTTCACTGAAACTGTTTCAGAAGCTCACAAAGTACTGCATGGGCAGAGAGAATAAAGACTCAAGTAGGAGCATAATGCCCTAAAATTAGAGCACACAATTACCCTACAATGAACTACCGTGTGCATCCATTACAGCCTGGATTTAACACCAAGGAACAAGAGACGTATTTCCAGCTGAATTACCCCAATTAAATTTGAGCGCAGAATTAGTCTTCTGCAAAGTTATAGTATAGTGTTCAAGGATTTAGTATGTTATTCTCAGATATTCTACTGAGATTATTACTGCTTCCACTGTAATTGCCAGTGTTAAATTCAATATATATCTAGAAAGACATCTGGATTCCTACTTAATATTTTGCCTTCTGCACAGAAAACCAAGCACATATTGCAGGTCTTTGACATAAACTGTTAAACTGGCAATGAGATTGCATACACACCCTGCCCTAAATAACAGTCCTTGATAGATTACAACATCTGCTTACTCATTGTTTTCAAGTGCCTCCATGTATTCTTCCATTACAAAACAAAAAAAAAAACAAAAAAAAAAACCACACAGGAATATTAATACCAATTGTAATGAGTAGGTAGCAGCTCAGCCACATGTTCACACAGTACCTGTTTTACAGAAGATGGAGGTGGGTGATACAGAAATGAGTGAGAAGTGTTTAGGAGGAAATGGAGTAAGAAGTGGCACAACAGTGGCAACAAAAACAAGGAAGTAGATGGCAAAGAAAATTTTCAAGCAGGAGTGGAATAGAACAGACTGGGGCAAGGAGGAGGAAGAGGACAAGTTAATGATGAAAAAATACTAAATGTACTATTTTTCAGAAAATCTAAGGTATGCTTTTTCACGTATGTTGCCAAATGTGACTTTCACGTGGTCATTTGCTGTCTCTCCTAATAGCAGCAGAGGACACAGTTGGCAAATTATCAATTTATTTATAAAAACTTGTAACAGGAGGTGATTTTCCTCATAACGCAGAGTTAAATTCCAGGACTTTTCACACATACCTAGATAACTTAAAAAAAAAAATCTGAAAATTTAGCAACTAGGTAACTGCATGAAGACTGTGAACATTATAAAACTACAGAGGGCTCAGGAAGCCCTTGAACAAAATCCTCGTAGTTGGAAGAGCACTGCAGGTGAGTGCCAGCACATACACACAATCGTCAGCAATATTCTTTGCACAGCATCTACAACTGACTACTGTTGGAAATGCAGTCTTGGCTTAGACAGACCATTTGTCTGATACAGTCTGGCTGTTTCCACTGATGAAAGCAACTGTGGCAGCTAACGGGAGACCACTCTGTGATCATGAATTCAATGGGAGGTAGTCCATGAGACATTACAATACAGTTGGCATAATAAAAACCCAAGAATCATTCTACTACTCAAAGGCACTGTAGATATCTGACAAGGAAACAAGCTCCCTACCAGCTCTGACAAGCTGCTGCTCAGACAGCTGCCCAGAGCTTTCAAGCTCTATTTTCACAAAAAGGGAAGTGCCCTCATTTAACTCCAGCACAGCAACTTTTCAAGTCCTAGAACACCTTCCTGCTACGCCCCAGAAATTCCAGATGTTACAGCTCAGTGTGACATTTTAATGTCTTTCATTCTGGAATTAAGAGAGTTCAATGCAAAACACTAACTTTCAGTATGTACACTTGCACTGTTAAAGCTCCATCTCCTTTTTCTTCACATCCAGAGAAACCACCTTGAAATACACAAGTCTGCATTTAATTATACAAGTAAGCCTTCCTCATAAACGGCATTTAAATATTTCATATATACTCTTCATAGTACATGTGAAAGTTGTATCTTGTCAGAACAAACTCAGATGAATAAGTGGATGTCTTCTAAGAAAACATTTTTTAACACAAAAGCTATTTGGAAGACCTATTAGCAGTTTCACACCTCTTCCACTGCACATCCAAATCACGGGTAAGAAAGAAGCAAGATGCCTTTTGTGAGCTGCAATGAGAGTGAAAGCAAGAAAAAATGCTCAGGATGGCTAAGAAGGGGAATTAATAATACAGAATCATATGTGCAGCTCAAAGACAAACCAGTTAGGAACCCTTTCAAAATACCACCACCTTCATCTAAACCAGCTTTGGACCTCACCATCCCCTGCTTCACCTTCCCCTCAGGTAATCCACAAGCAAGTATGTGATCAACTGCAAAGAGCTGTTGTTACTTTAAAGAACCTCCACAGCCATTTAGAAACATGAATATTTATAGGATTAAAACAACCCTCAAGTCAGGTTAATTAAGCCCACAGCTTGGATGACTGCCCTTCTTTGGGCAAAGGTGCCCTATACACTTAAATTCTATGATCTAGCTTCATGGTGCTGAGCAGTTAGTTCAAACTCAGTTGTCATGATCCAAGTTTTCCTTCCAAATTTGCTAGAAAGTCACAAGAGCGAGGCTCTTCCCCAAATGTTGTAGCTGATTAGATGACAAAAAAAGCTTTACTGACAAAGCTTTTCAAAGCTTCTCTTTAAGCAAAGCAACTTCCCCTTAGCTATTTTCTTCCAAATAAACGGCATACAAAAATGAAGCAGCACAAGGGGACTGTCAACCAAGCCCCTCAATGCAAAGTGTGTTTCGCTGCCAGCTTTCCAAGTCAGAGGATCTCTCAGTAACTATGTTTAATCATTAAGAGGACTTTTAACTGGGTTTTAGGCATTAAGTCTATCATGGTCTACAATTAAAGCCACAGGAGATAGAAGACGGTATTTATGTTTTTCTGCAGTCTTGGTGCACAGACCAAGACCCCAGTGACACACAGATGTACGGACGTCCATCAGTGCAATCCTTGTCAACTGCAGGTCCACACCATTCGCTATCCTTCACAGCACGCTTCCACAAACCTTTTTTTTTTTTTTTTTTTTTTCCTAGCTCTGCACATTTTACGCATCTACAAAAAGAAAAGGAGGTAAGAGAGAGAAGACAAGCGGTTGCTTTTTTGCTTTATAACACACATTGAAGAGCCTCTTTGTGCGCTGTGCCTTCTCGCGAAGGACAGCCGGCACACAAAGGAGGAAAAAAAAAACAAAAACAAAAAAACCAGGAGCGATCCTATCGCCGCAAAGGTCAGGGGCAGGAAACTTCCCGGCAGGAGGCAGAGGGGCGCTTGTCCCCCTCTGGGCCAGGCGGGCGGGCGGCGGGGCAGCGCTGACAGGAGGCGGCCTGCGGCCGGCCCTTACCCGCCCCCCACCCCCACACCCCCTCAGCCGCCGCAGGGCCGCGGCTCCCGGCCCCGCTTGTGGGCTGCCCGCGGCCCGGGCAGGCCTGTCCGTGGCCGGGGAGCCGCCCCCTCACCTCCATGGTGGACACGGTGCTGGCGAAGAGCTCCTCGCCGTCCTCCAGCTCCTCCAGCTCGGCGGGACGCGCCTCCCCCAGCGGCGGGGGCTCCCGCTCCGCCGCCATCTTGCGCCGCCCCGCCCCAGCCCCGGCCGCGGCCCCGCCCCCGGGACGCGGGCACGTGACCGCGCGGCGGGAGCGCGCAGGGGCGCCTGAGGCAGCGCGGGGCCGCGCGCCTGAGCCCCCTCTGCTCCCCAGAGCTGCTGCACGGCCAGCGCTCAGTGAAACGGCGGCTGTGCACGCTCCTGCTCTGCTCCTAATGGCACAGAACCACAGAGGCATTCCGGTTGGAAGCGACCTCCAAGGTCATCTGGTCCAACCACCCCCCCTGCCACCAGTGTCACCCACTGAACCGTGTCCCCAAGCACCACGCCCAACCTCTCCTTGAGCACCCCCAGGGATGGTGACTCCACCGCCTCCCTGGGCAGCCTGTCCCAGTGCCTGACTGCTCTTTCTGAGCGGAAATGTCTCCTCATTGCCAACCTGAGCCTCCCCTGGCACAACTTGAGGCCATTCCCTCTGGTCCTGTCACTAGTTTCCTGTGAGAAGAGGCCGACCCCCAGCTCCCCACACTTCCTCTCAGGCAGTTGTAGAGAGCAATGAGGCCTCCCCTGAGCCTCCTCTTCCCCAGACTAAACACCCCCAGTTCCCTCAGCCGCTCCTCACAGGACTTGTGCTCCAGGCCCTTCACCAGCTTTGTAGCCCTGCTCTGGACACGTTCCAGGGCCTCGATGTGCTTCTTGTACTGAGCAGCCCAAAACAGCCCGTTGCACTCTTCATTATATCTAAATAACATTCAAACATCTTTTTAAGACTTAAAAATTCAAGGAGGGAAAATGGAAAAACCTAGTCAAAGTCTGCAAGTATTTTCTGTCCAGAAATCTAGCTCTTTGGCATCTACTTTATTTATTCATTTATTTATTTATTTATTTATTTATTTATTTATTTATTTATTTATTTATTTATTTTTGTGAATGAGACCATCACTGGATAGCACAGCCTCACTGCCTTTCCGATGTCTTGTGGTATTCCTGTTCTGCTATTCTGGAAAATTCTCAAATAACTGGCACATGCATGTTTTAAGGAGAAGTTATGATTCAGTCACCTCCCTAGTAATTCCATATCCTCTGACGTTATACCATTAACATTTCTCACCATAACTTTGTTTTCTGTGATTTGGAAGATCACGTGATATGTACTATGTTTTTTACATTTCTGGCAAATGCACTAATCTAGCATCGTGCTTAGGAGTTTAATGGTTTTCCACCAGACTGACTAGTTTTCTGACTTCATCAAGATTCACACCCATGCCTTTAATGCTCATGTGGCTAGACTATAAATCAGCTCTCCTAAATACCTTGAAGTAGTCATCTATCACACCAATTGAGTATGCTACAGAAGCAGAATAAAATAAAGAGCAGACAAGATGTCAGTTTTGGTGTTATTTTTCACTCATTAACAAGGGTATGTGAGGAGTTTAAATTCTCTTATTTCAAAGTAACATTATCATTTATTGTTTACTTGCTCTCCCAGTGCTCCTGAGATTTGTGGGCATGGAAATCCATTATGGATGTTTTTATGAGAGAAGGACCCAAGGAGTAATACAAACGTACTGTAATACAAAGGAGTCATACAAAGGTTTCTATATTTTAAAGTAACTGAAAATTCAGTTTGGAAAACTGTGGATTAATAAATCTGGGCGCAAAAAAATAATCTAAAACAGAGAAAAACATCTAAGGAAATAAAATGGGAAAACTAATGCTTCAAGAAAACTTATAATGATTTCAAAAAGCCAGTCATATATGAAATAGCGATGTGCCACTGCAAAGAAAAGCTAAATTTAGAGGCAAGCCTCATCCCCATCCACACAGGTGCTCGTATGTGTACCGTGAATAGCTCAGCTCTACTGCATGCTGCAAAGTGAGAATCCAAAGGAGAAGAGAGAAAGGTACCCATGTATGACAAGGGGATCTGCAGTCAACCATTTCTTTGCAGACAGTAAATCCAACCCTACACCACTACATGAGAGGGGTGTTAAGGCTGTGAAGTCAAGAAACTGATCAGTGGAAATGATGAGACAAAGTTTACCTGTGGAACTTGATTCAGGCCTTTGTGTAGATGCATCATGACCACTTTAATTGCATGGCTGCATGCAAATATTTCCATAGGAGCCTTCTTCCCAGGGACCATTGACTGCACAGCTACTGACATTTTTCTTTGTGATACCATGGTTAGCTACATACTTCATTTATTATATGCAGTTCCTACCCTGCTCTGCAGACAAAACAATTCGTCTCCTTGCAGGCTTTTCTCTGAGGCTCCTTGCTACACAATCTGAGTTTCACAGGCACTGACGAATGTTTTCTTCAGAGTTTTCCTATGGGAGTATGTTGCCCATTTTACAGGCAGTGTGCAGAGGATGAAAACAAACAAAAATGCTTGCTAATCCAGATCCACAACTTGAGGTAGCTAAGTTTTATGTTTTTCTAGAATACCTAACATTTCAATGGTTTCTTTACCTAGGCAGCCAGCCTCGATATCAGAGTACTAGCCATATCCACACCCCTGTGGATGGACTTTTATTCCTCTGCTCCTCTCTTCTGTTCCTTCCTTTCCTGTTTCCAGCCCTTGTCAGCTCCCATATTTTCTAGATTAACTTTGAGGGAAGATGAGAACCCTCCAAAACAGGGGATTTCTGCTTTTAACCTACTGGCCAATGGTTCTTCCAAGCCCCTAACATCTGCAGCATGGACACCGCACTGCACCTCTCATGACTCTGCCTACAGCAACTGCGGAATCTGCAAGCCTTTGCAGCCCAGCCACTCAGGGGAGATAAAGAAATCAGAAATGCCTCCTGGATAAACACTATTGGGAGTGGCTGTACAATAAAAGAAGTTAATTTTTATCATGCAGAAATACGTTTCACTGAAGATTATAATCTTGTTGATCTTATGTAGCTTTAAAAATGAACAATACAGCAGTGCCAGAGCTTTATTTTCCTTTCCCTCACTCAGGCTGCAGTGGTGCTGAAGGACTGAAATAACTCTTAAGTTATTTGGGCATGGGTAAAATAATAATATTATTGTTTTGCCTGGATATACTTCTATTCATCTGTCTCAAAACAACTAAATTAGGTAATAAAAAGAAGTTGACAAATTTCTAAGCAACTTGAATCAAGGTTTTACAGTCAAACGTGACAGATTTCACATACCTTCTTACGTGTGAGACACTTCATTGACTTTGCCTCAGCACTGTACCAACAGAACAGCCACTGCAGCCCCATGTCTTTTTAATGATTGAAGTATCAATTAAACTACAAGAGATTGAAGACTAAGAAAAAGTAGTTTTGGAGGAGACAGTGACAGTTAGTTACACAAGCCTGAAGGCAGTGCCTGTAGTTTCAGTCTTCAGGGAGCCCCAGGAAATCATCTGGGCAATCAATTTAGCCGGTAAAATGTTTGTCAAACCTTTTCTTAAACATCTCCAGTGGTGAAGACCCAAAAGCCTCATCAGGCAAGCCAGATTAGTGCTTTGCTATCTAGCACCAGAAAAATATTTCAGGCATCTCATGCCTAACCTAAAAGCCCATGGCTCTCCTGCTAGTGATGGACCCTGCTGTGAGGTATGGTCTGGTAATCATGTGGCGCTGCTGGGCTGCCTTCCACTGTGATCTTACTTAGAGGCACTTGGCCTCGTTTTGTATCCTTGAAGTGGTTTGCTCAGACTTTGGGGTAAAATCTCACTTTCCCGGCTGAATTTTGCTTTTCTTTTTGCTGGCATTAACTCCAGTCTGTTTTGACCATTTTGGATTATTTTACTGTGCTTCAGCTGTTTGTTATCGCTTGCAAATATAATATGCATTGTCCCCATTCCAGCATTGAAGATATAGCAGGCCTGTGATATACCACTGTCATTTTTCATTCAATGCATCCTTCTGTAACAATGGTAGTCATGGAAAAACACTCTCTGAGTTTGTTTTCTCACCAGTTCCATGCCTGCTCTATATTAAGTTGCACATACTGTTCCATTAGCTTCCTTGTGAAAATGTCATAAAGGATGAATGCTCAAGAAATACTTAAAGACTATTTCCTCACTAAGTAATATTGTAAGAAAATGGCTAAGTGCAGTAAGGGAATAATAACCACCAGAGTGCTTAGAATTAGAGTAGATGAATTTTAGAGATTTGATTCTTTTTTTCCATTTAGAAAATATTAAACTAGGAATAATGTGCTATTGCATAGTGCCTACGCTTGCATGCAGCAGTAAAGCACTGCAGTGAATCATCCTTCCCAAGAAAAATTACAAAACACAAATATTTACAAAATCTTTGTATTTGACACGTACCCACTCATCCAGTCAGCCAAATGAACATTAGACTTCAGCTCATGATGACTGTTCTGTGAAACATATGCCATCTTTCCGTCTGAGTATTTAATTGCATATTCTACAATAAATAAATACATACATACATATATACATACATACATATTCTGGCATCTTTGTTTTATTCTTTGCTAACATGTGGTCAGTGTTATTCATTTACAAGAAACAAATAATTTTTACTTATGTGAAAAAGACAGGTTCAGTAATAACAAGTTAGATATTTAAGTTGCTGCTGGGGTAGTGACAAATATCACCCTTGATCAATTAATGTAATGGGAATTTCTGCTCTCTGGTTCATCTAATGTTGCAGTAGATTAAATAAGTTCTAGAAGTGTTAGCAGGCCATTTTCTCTTTGCCCTGATGGTAAAATGATGTAGAAGAATAGCTTTTTTTTTCTTACTTACTTCTTTTTTTTTTTTCTTTTCTTTTAATCTTCAAAAATACTTATGGCAACTGAGAACCGAGTGAGAAACACTGGTTACTGTGATACACGTTCATCATTTATCCGCTGTCACGATTGTCCTCCACTGTTTATACTTTACAAGAGACAGAATGCCTTCCAGCAAAGATTTGTTTTTATTTTGGCACTAACAGCCTTCAATCCTAACCTGACCCTTGTAATTTGATGAGAAATACAAAGCAGCCTCTGAGATATCTTGATTTACTTTGGGCTTCATTTGTCACTGCCTCCCAAAGTTGGTAAGGAGTCACACT